GCACATCATGAAGGAAGGACACGGGCACTTCGGCGGCGGGCCAGCGCGCCACGGCGGTCCCGCGCCACCGGGCCAGGCGTACTACGCACCGGGCCACGGACATGGCAAACATCACGGAGGAGGTTGTGAGTTGCTCCCTTCGCTTCCTCCGGCGTCTCCAGGGCTGACACACCACAGACTATAACGGACCACCCCAACCCCAGCCGCACGGCCAGCCACAGATGATCTACGTTCAAAGGCCGCCCCAGCGGCGAGATGACGGAGGCGGTTGCTGCGGGACATGTTGTGGATGGTGCGTTCGAGGTCTTGTCGTTGATTGCCCCTTGCTTACTCCGTCTCCTCCAGTCTCGCAGGATGCCTCGCAGCGGTCTTCTGCTGCCCCTGCCTATGCTTCTAGGCCCCTCATGCGATACCCACTTATGGATCTCCCCGGACTTATTATCTATCATGTCTACTGTGCTATACATGTATTTACTGTACTACGAGGATCTACGACTGTATGATAGACAATGGCTGCGACGAATTGAGATACACGAACTGGATATATTGCGAAGGCCTTCAAACTGACTTGATTGTTCGCTGTGGTCACAAGTGGAAGTCCTCGAGTAAGTACGGCGCTACAACTTTCCGTTGACATACTTCGTTCCCTTGTCGACGCTGGGGGCGTCGCGCTCCTTGAACTCGTCCAAGACCTCGAACACATGCGGGAACACATCCTGCTCGATATCCTTGCCCCATATCACGTCCAGATGCTCATATCCATGTAGCCGCACGACCCTGGTATGCCCCGGCAGGTTCTTCGTCATCACCTGAATGTCCACCAGACTGTCCTGGTCGCCGTACATCAGCACGATCGGCGTCACTATATTGCGCGTCGGGAAGCGCGCGGGGCGGTACGAGCTCACGCTCGTGCGCGCGACATTCCCCACGCCCGCGCTCACGTCATCGTCGAACATCTGGAACGTCGCGCTGCGCATGATCTGGAACCAGTGCACCACCGACTTCGTCGACGCAAACGAGTACAGGTGCGCGTACGCGGCGATCTTCTGCGGGCCCGCGATGTTCGCGCCGTACCAGCGGAACAGCCAGCCGAGGCAAGTGTCGATGAGCACGGCGAAGATGGGCGGGTAGAGGATGCCCTGCCACATGGTGGCGGAGGAGAGGATGCACTTGCGGCCGAAGAAGAGGTACATGAGCGTAGGCGAGGCCTTCATGAGGCTGTCGACGATGGGCGCGGAGAGGCCAGGGGGCGCCATGGCGGGCGCGAGCGCGATGAACACGTTGACCTTTTGGTTGAGCTGTGGGTGAATGGAGAGGGCGGCGAAGGCCTGCGCGGTTCCCTGACTGAAGCCGATGTAGCTGAGCGTAGGCGCTTTGGTGACGTCGAGGATGTAGTGAATCGAGTCCGGGATATCATGCCAGGCGAAGTCGTCGATGCTGCACGGTGTCAGAGAATCATTCAGGCAAGTAGTTCCACCCCGCACCTGTAGTCCCAGAACTTGGCCGAATGTGGGCCATGGTGGATGGACTTGCGTGAGTACTTGTTGCCTCTACACAGTAGTCAGTATACGCCATCAGACGTGAGGGGGACACGCACCTGTTATTCCCTAACCACACATCGAACCCGCGCTCGACGAGCTGGAACGGCAGCGCGCGCTCCTCCGCGGTCAAGCAGACCCATATCTCGCTGTTCATCAGCAGTCCATGGTGCAGATACGCAACGGGGCCGCCCGTGCTGGCTCCCGGCAGCGCGCTCTGCTCGCCCTTCTTGTTGCAGAGCCGGTGGAGCGTGAGCAGGTAGCCGTCCTTCGTCAGGACGACGTGCTCCTCGGGCGTGTACCCGTAGATCTCGCACAGCGCATGGAAGTCGCGCGCGCGCAGGATCTTGTCGACTATCTGCTTCTCGGGCGAAGAGGGCGGCCGCTCGGCACGGTGGCGATGGTTGAAGAGCGTGCGCGATTTCTCGTAGCAGAGGTTGATGAAGGATTTGGGGAGGAAGAGGATGATGACGTGAAGGACAGACTCGAGGGCGATGAAGAGGAACCCAACAACAAGATATGCATATTCAAGAAGAGAGAGGCGCCCGAGCAGGGGAAGATGGGCCATTATAATGTGGTAGGAGCGAAGTTAACGAATGATTTCATGCACTGTCCATTCGCAATCACATGTGCCAGCAGCGAATAATACAAACTCATGATGATAGAGGCTAATACAGACAAATGCCCCATTACTATTACATGGCCTCCTTCAATGAACCATACATATCCGCGATAGATAATATTTTCGTTACCCCCAACGCACAGAAATTACGGGCAGAAAGTCAGGGTGTAGTCTGCAAGTGCGTCAGCTCCCTTCCGCAGACGCAGGACCGATACACTTACCAGCGTTGAGCGACGCATCGCAGTACCACAGCGCCGTGCCCGAGGGCTCGTCGTACGCGTACGCATACGAGTTCGGGCAGTTCGACTTGAAATAGTCGTACGACGACGACCCCGAAGACGGGCAGTCCTCCGGGCCCCCCACATACGGGCCATTGCAGCACGCGGCCGCGTTCGACGGTTCCGCAAGACACGCGGACTTGCAGCCCACGGAGTTACCCGCCGAATCGTACGGGCCTTTCAGGTTGTCCGGGCAGTTGGCCACGAGGTCGACGGGGCAGTCGGCGACCGGGCAGCCGACGTTGTTGGTGATGCGCATGGGGAGGTTGTACCCGTCGACGAGCGAGACGTCGTAGTTGTCGAGCCCCTGCTTGTCGCCGAGCGACCACTCGGCGACAGTGGCGGGCGCCACACCCGTCCCGGTATGAGGGTCACAGACGAGGCCGCCGTTGCAGCCGCCGTCGACGCAGGAGTTGGGGCCCGGGTTGGTCGAGAAGTCACATTCGCGGCGGCCCTGTGGATGCGTTAGGCTGGATGAGTCTCTATCATAGGAGAAGCTAACTTACCCAGATGCGTCCCGCGTTCCAATTATCGGGGACATTGAAGGACACAGACGTGTACGGCGCGGCCTCCCAGCCGGTCGTGTAGTCGGGAACCGCAGATCCAGCGGTCAAGTCCGTGTACATCCCCGGCCAAACGGTGAACGAGCACGCGTTGTACACCTGCAGAAACGTGTCAGCCAAGCCGTCTCCCAACTACTCAGCACCCTAGTAGACAATGCCACTCACAGTAAACGTGCGCGCGGACGCGACAGCGGCGAGGGCAAGCGCAGAAACGACACGAATGGACATCTTGAGGGTGAGTGGTGCCGGGATAGTACTAGAGGAAAGTCAAGTAGGAGTGCGCAGCTCGAACTTGCTCTCTCACCTCCCCGTGGGCCTGTATATATACGCTCTTCAGAAATTCCCGAACTTGTTCAAAGTAGCGCTTGGTAGGTGAGTGGACGCGCCGTCAGGCCATTCACGAGATGCTTCGACCCGTAAGCCTGTATCATGCTTAGGTGGGGCGCCTGGTGGGCGTCGACGTGCCCGCGTAGGGCGTATAATGCGTTGAGTCCCCCGCCATTGTGTTTTGAGTGGGCTGCATGACCGCTAACAGGCCGCTGCAGACTGTTGCCGGCAGACGCCGCGGTCAATCGTTGACCATCATGACCCAAGGGCACCTGTCCGCTGCACTGCACCTTGTGGCGAGCAGCTTGCTCAATCCAGATACCTTGCGGGAAGAAGACACGGAGCAGTGAGCGCCGAGCGGCGAGGATGGAGGTTGCGGGCGCACGGCTTCGTGAACTTGTGTGCATACGGCGCATGCGTCCCGCGGCGTCGTCTGTGCTCTTTCGCTTGTTTTCCGCCAGGCTCTGTGTCATCGTTTCTGACATACTGTGAGCATAAGAAAATGAGCAGAATTTGCAGCCGAGGGAGTTGAACAGACGAACCTTGTTCAAGTGTTGTCTCCCACGCCGGACGTTCGGTCCCAGAGAGGGATGTTGCGATATGTAAGTACTAACGCCAGTAAGGACAAGCGCAGCTCTAGAGATCACTGACAGCACATCAGCAAGAGCTCGCACGCAAGAGTTGAGGGACTCACTGCCTCCAACAAATGCAGATACAGATCCATACCTGGCATAGACGCGCCAGTCTAGAGCAAATGCACAACCAGTAACAATCCAAAGGCGCAGGCTGTCGACTGCATAAATAAGCCGTTCATGTCGCTCTCAAAGCTCCGCGCCGCGTTCTCGTCAGTCACTCGTTGAGGTCGAGCTGAGGCTGTCGAGGCTGGTATTCGGCGCGGAGCACACTCGACAGCATCCTGCGGATATTCACACCTGGCATCCCATACTGAGAGGTGGTAGACATGGACCCAGAGGTCGCTGACGTCGATTCGGAGGCCGCAGTGGATGTACCAGTACTGGTGGACCTAGCAAAGATCGATATGAACTGAGCGCCTTCGTACGTAAGGCGCCTAGCACGCTCGCAGCCAAGGCATATAGCATGCCCGTACACAAGGCGCTTAACGCGCCTCTCCTCATCCTCTCCCCTCCCATGCAGAGTCGCAATCACCTACGGGCAAAACTCCAGCGTGTAGTGCGCCCCTAACGACGCATCGCACGTAAACAGCGCGGTCCCAGACGACTCGTCTTAGGCGTGCACGCTGGGGCAGAAGTTCACCTTGAAGCATGAGTAGTACTCAGCGCCTGGAGGGGTTGGACAATGAGGGGGATCAGTCAGATGAGTTAGCAAGCGGCTGATGAGGAGGTAGATGGTCGATGAGGAGGGAAAAAATGATGAGGAGTCCATCGGGTGATAAAAAGGCAACTAATCAGTCAATGTCAAGAGAGCAGTCTGCAGCCTGCTGAGGGAGGAGGATGGTGGCGTACCGGATGAGAGACTTCCAAACATGAAGACGCAGGGGGTTCCGCGTAGTATATACTTTGCACCCTGAGTACATCGTCACCGTGATTGTGCATGTTGTTCTCCAGAAGTCCAACCCGGGGTACACGGGTTTTACACGGACTCTCCTTACGGCGGCTTTATACTTATACACTAAAGTGTGCACCTGTGATATGGTCTAATAGTGTAGTGGTTATCACTCGGGATTTTGATTACGTAATAATTCCCGTAACCCAGGTTCGAACCCTGGTTAGACCTTAGCCCACCATGTAGCGTATCTTTTTTACCATACGACAATACCAAGCAGGCACATTGGCAAGGACTAGCAGCTTAGAGCTAGAGCTGATACGAGTCCAACGCACCAAGACGACGAAGAGGCGTGCGCGAGACGCGGGACCGCAAAGCCGTGACAGCCACTGACAGCGGCACCGCTATTGACGTCATCGAGTTTTTAGAAACCAGGTTCGAACCCTGGTGCTTTTGTGCAGCTGGACTACCGCTGGCGCTGATTAGCTATGCACAAGGTAGTCTAGCGAAGTCATGAAGCTTCTTTGCAACGCCTCGCCTCCAGGAGAGTCCAGCGGATATCGAACACAGTCCGAGCGCAGGTGAGATTGTGGCACGGACAAGAAATCCCCAACGGCAGTCGGTACTACCATGGGCACGAACGGCACCTCAAATAGAGGCAAAATAACGGGCAGAAGGCGATTTTGCATGTAGACTATGCCCACGATGAGCAAGGCAGTTATAACGAGCGCGTCACACTCACCTTGCAGATTATGATACAGCGACCAAGGATCGAGCGACGAGTCGAAAACGTTGGCATCGGACACCCTGTTCTGCGACGCGCATCGCGGCTGCTTGTACCACGCGCCGTGCCACATCAACGCGTTCTTGCTGACCACGTCGTCCTTCCGTACGAGGAGAAGCGTCTCGATGATTTCAGGCAACACAGTATCCAACGTCGCGTCCAGCGCTGCATTCACCAGCCCGTCGACGCGCGAGAGCCGGCCATCCGGGCCAGTATAGTAGTCAGTGCGCGAGTCGCCACCGTGCCTTAGCACGTCTGCCCAGGACAGCTCCCAGCGGTCCAGCGCACCAGGCTCATCGCTGACATTATACGTTGGGGCCGGCGCCGGCAGCGGCCCGCGGTGCAGGACAACGACATGCGAGCGCCGCGCCAGCTCGAACCAGTTGCTATCCCGCGCACGCACCCCCGTAGCGCGGTCGACGCGCACCTCGCTGTATGCGCGCGGATCGGCGGCGACGAAGAGTGCAGAGGAAAGAGAGAAGCGGAGGAGGGCGGAGCCGAGGGAGACGAGGTCCTGGTCGCCGGGAAGCTTCTTGAAGCGGGGCTCGGCGCGTGATGTCGCGTTGCGCATGTGCGGGGGCAGGCAGATGTGGTGGAAGGTGCAGAATTCGGGGCCGAGGCAGGTGTGGTCTTCATCTATTGCATCAAGCCAGAGTGTGTGCAGGTGGTGCGTGGCTTCGGGGCCGACGAGGAGGACCTTTCTGGTGGAGAGGGAGGTGCAGAGAGAGCGAGCTATATGGTGAGGAAGAGCGGTATCTGGGGGAGGCGCGGATATGTTTTCCGAAGACGCCGATGTGTTTAGACATGTCCACTCGGGGTGGAAGGTCGGTCGAGAGTCGGAGTCCTGCGTGTTTGTTGCCCAAGTCCCTCGCGATACGAAGCAGTGCAGAGCGTCTTGCTTTGCTTGTATGTTATGCTGCACGGACTCGTCAACTAGGTATTGTCCGTTTTCCGTCCGCAGGTCGTGCAGGATGCCGGAGAGCTTAGAATCAAGGATGTGGTCGATTCGCCGTGTGTCAACGATAGTTAAGTTCGCGATATCCTGGCGAGGCGAGCGTAGAAGGAGATACAGACCAAGAGAAAGTGCGAGAACGTAGTATCGTCGCCTAAGCTTCAGGTAGGAGTGCATGATGCAAGGGACGGACAGATGGTGGCAAGAGCAAAGAAACAACAGACGCTCATGAACTAATTCGGAACAATAGGCTTGATGTTTCCCACGGTCGCCTTACTCGCACACAAGTGTTGTTTACCTCTCGTAGTTCCAGACGATAACCTAACTTCTATCCTAATAAAAATGTACTACAATGGAGTGTACCCATGATACATAGCATACAGATCTAACACGACGACGACAGTAGTCTCAAGCCCGCTCAGCTCAAGATCACGCCTTGACAGCCTGAATGAATGCCCGGACCTTCTCCAAGTCCTTCGCACTCCCGTCCTCCGTCTCCACACCACCGCTCACATCCACCGCCCACGGGCCCACCTTCGTCACCGCCTCCGCCACATTCTCCGGCGTCAGCCCGCCCGCAAGTACCAGCGGCATCGGGTACGCCGGCGCGAGCGCCACCGCCCCGCCATGCTTCGACACATCCACCACATCCCCGTTCACATGCCCGTTCACCGCGCCCTTGTACGCCGCGCCGCCGTCCGTGACGATCTCGCCCGCCTGCACCACGCTCCGCGCGAGGTCCCAGTCCGCCACCTGCCCGCTCCCGCCGGACAGGCCGTCCGCCGTCATGCTGTCGAGCAGCACGAACTGGTGCGCGCCGCCGCGTGTGATGCCCGCAACGCCGCGCGCGTCCGAGCCGACGTGGAAGACCTTGACGACGGGCACGGGAATGTGCCGCGCGAGGTCGATGGGCTCGGCGCCGTGCAGCTGCACCATGTCGAGCTGCGCCTGCTCGACGGCCTGCAGGATGGTGTCCAGGGGCGCGTTTTGGAAGACGCCGACGAGGAGGGGGCGGGAGGAGGAGGTAGAGAGGCGGGTAGCGTGCGCGCTGAACCAGGGGGCGTTGCTGGTGGAGGGGCGGAGGGGGTAGAGTCGGAGTAGCGGGCGGCGCGGACCGCCTTGGAGATGGCCTTCGCGGTCGGGAGGTCCACTGCGCGTTTTGAGGAGGGAACCAACATGAGGCCGAGCATGTCGGCGCCTGCCTCGGCAACCTGTAAGGCCTCCTCCTCGGACCGGATGCCGCAAATCTTGACGAGAGGCTTCGACTGCGTCCAGCTCGACGTGGTCGGTTCGGGGAGGGACAGGAGATGACGGATGAAGGCGCCGGTGTCCTTTGCGCGCATCAAGCTCTCGCCGATGAGGACGGCAGACACGCCCTCGGAGTGGTACTTCTTGACGTCCTCGGGCGTCGCGATACCGCTCAGCGCAGCGAGGATGACGTCATTGCCCTTGATCATCTCCGTCAAGCGGCTCGTCGTGCTCATATCCACGTTGAAATCATGGAGGTTGCGGTTGTTGACACCGATGACCTTCGAACCCAGCGCGAGCGCAATGTCCATCTCCCGAGTGTTGTTGACTTCAACAAGGGGCTCCATGCCGAGCTCGAGCGAGTACTTGTACAGGTCCTGCAGCAGGGCCTCGGGCAGCATACTGACAATCAGCAGAACTGTGTCCGCACCCCAGAGGCGGGCCTCGAGGATCTGGTATCGAGAGAGGATGAAGTCCTTGCGTAGGATGGCGGGGCGGTTGGGAAGGTTGGCCACGGCCATACGCGCGTGCAGCATGTCCTGCAGCGAGCCAAGGAACCATTTTGGCTCGGTGAGGACAGATATTGTGTGTGCGCCCGCGAGCGCGTATGTCAGCGCTTGAGACGCAGGGGACGTCGTAACGGATATGGGACCCTTCGACGGAGATGCACGCTTGATTTCAGCGAGAAGCGATGGGCTGTCTGCTGCCTTCTGCTTCAAGCGATCAACGAAGGAGATGAGCGGAGGGGCAATATTGAGCGAGTAGTTCGTCAAGAGGTCTTGCATCGTCGTCCCTGCTGTAGACTGCGCCTGCGCGACGTCGGCAATGCGCTGCTTGTAGATCTTGTCAAGGATCGACGGGGCCTTAGACGCGACGCTCGGGTTCTTCGCCATCTGCTGCGGCATGGTCTCCGTGGGGAAGGGGGGCAGAGAGCGATCGTTGACGCGGGCCTCCGGGTTCTCCTCCCAGGTGCCGCCACGGAGATTGAGGAAGTTGCGAATGTACGCCTCGCCGCCCTCACTCAAGACACTCTCGCAGTGGTACTGGATGGCCTCGACCGTGTATTTGCGGTGGCGAACGCCCATGATGACACCAGACTCCTCGGTGAGAGCCGTGATGGCGAGATCGGCAGGCAGGGTCGAGTGCGACGCGCTGAGAGAGTGATACCGCGTGGAAAGGATGCCCTGCGGGACGTCTTTGAAGCAGCCGCGGTTATCGTGGCGTACGCGGCTGAGCTTTCCGTGCATGATCTCGCCGGCATAGCTGCAGGTCGAGTCAGTAAGCGCCCACTTCCAGAGTAACTCGGCACGCACGCAATCGTCCCTCCCATTACGTCGACAATGCACTCGAGGCCCATGCAGACGCCCATGATGGGGACTTTGCCCGTGAAGTACTTTATGGCTGCGTTGGAGATCCCCGAGTCGGTTTTGGGGTGACCAGGGCCGGGGGAGATGAACAGCGAGTTGATCTGCAGCTGGGGAAGGAGGTCGGCGGAGATGGCATCGTTGCGGATGACCGTCACGTCTGCGCCGAGAAGGGAGATCTGCTGGTAGAGGTTCCAGGTGAAGGAGTCAAAGTTGTCGATCATGAGGACATCGAGCTTGCGCGCGAGATGCGGGGGAAGTGTGGTGGCCATTGCGACGACGAATAGAAACAAGGGGGGGGCCGCGAAGATACGCTCGGAAAATGCCCGCTGGCGTATATAAAGGAAAGACCGGAGCTAGGCGGCGGTGCCGCGATGTCAAGAGGCAAGCGGCGGATTGATGTCAATATTTGTGATACTCTCTATTTGTTCACCGGCCCGCGGCTCTTCTTCAAACCAAGATGGGGCAAATTCTGACTCACCCACGCATTCCGAGTCACTTTCGTATGTTCTACGCTGCTGGCTCAACTTCACAAGTGCTACTCCCCCAACGCCGACAGAGGCGGCCTTGAAGCAACCCGGCCTGTTTACCCCTTCTATCGCCGGACGCGGACATCAAGTTCGACCAGAAATCAGCGTCGCATTCCTTCCAGGATACATACCCCAGGTTGCATCGGTTCATTTCATGTTACAAGTTCGTGTTCCAGTGCCGCGCCCCCCTCAAGCCGACGGAGACTCCCGCGCGCCGGTCAAGTACGCGATGGTCTGGTAGGCTGCCCATGGCACGAATTCTATCGAGCGTACGTCCGTCAGTCATCTCCAGGGTCTAAGGATCGCAGCAGCAAGCGACTTACGGGGCGTCATATGCCCGCTCATATAAAACT